GGCCTAGCTTTGTCTCTGCAAGGTATCCTGGTTTTGGACTGGCAGTTAGAATATGTTTCCCTGCTTTCTGAAAGGTCCATATTCTATCTGCGAGGGTCATCCCCAGGGTCATCGATGTTGAAAGGATTGGGGTATCCATTTAAATCGGAAATATTTGGATTCCATATTCTAACTGTCTGTCCTACATTGTACAGTAATCTACAGTATGCATAGATAATTTGCATACAGGGATACAGCTGTCCCCACAACTTGGTGTTTCTTGGTGTGTAGAAGTGTTGCACTCCAGCTTCATAGGTCTTGATCACAGGAGGAGTGGGGAGCCCCTTGGTCCACATCCATGTTTGTTGCCGTTGGGAACAGCGACACGACATGACACGATGATCACTCTTTGTTTCATCGCAGTAGTATGCTGCAGGACCTGTCAAAAACTCGACTCGCCAGCAAAAACAACGATGATGGAAATGTATTTTGTTGTTTAATTTGTTATGTAATATGAAGTATGTGAGCTAGCACCAACTGGGTGTACAGCCTGTTTCATTTGGGATCCCGCTTGGGTGGATGAATCCTTGGTTCGGCCCCCTTGTTGTGGAGCCTGATGTTGGAACCCGCCGTATCGCGAAGCGATGCTGGGCTGTTGGCGGGCGTGGGTTCCTTTCAGGACTCTGTTTGTTGGTGCCGATTCATCGGCTTGGCGTGTGTTTGGTTTCCTACACCTTTGTCCCACACGCGGACCTTTGCGCAGGTTTTTTTTCCTTCCAAGAAGGTTTTCCCTGTGCATTCTGCATCAAAGTTTTCTCACACATGAGAGCTGGTTTGCAATTTACTAGGCACTGGTTTTCTCTGTAAGTATATAACTATATCAATTAGGTCTTGGACACTGATCTTCCTGGCCTGGGACCCCTTGTCCATCATCGTGAGTCGGCGTTTTTCTCACTCTCCCTGCCACGGTTTCTTTTTCTGCAGAGGTATTGTGTCGCAGCCGTGATCTTTCTGGGCCTGGTGGGACACTCGTGGTTCTCGCCACGGAGGGAGGGTGGAGGGGGGCGGAAGGAGCAGTGAAGTGTATACGTACCGTGGCGACCTCCAAATGTCATACACACTTCGAGCAACATGGCACAGTACGAAGAGAAAAACGTTCAGAGGATGAACACTGCTGTTTCTGATTGGCTTTGTATGGATGCATTCTTCTTTTGTCTCACGCAGACATCCCCTAAACAAGATTGACCTGCAGCCAGACAAGGTTGTTTTGCTTCAGTTAATTACTGTAATAATGACTCCCCACAAATTCTCGGTACATGGCCTGAAAGACCCTCCAAAAGGACCAGGACAGTTCTCCGCAAACTCGCTTCGCAAAGTTTTTTTTTCCAAAGCCTTATCACCACCATATTGAGCTATTGAGTTATCAGATATCACTTATCACCACCATACTGAGAGCTATTGAGTGGTAAGCCATCATGTTGAGGACTGTATATATATATAGCTATTCAGACCCTGATCACTTTGAATGCCTTCGAGACCGTATGTATACGGTCTCGACAACGGATCAGGCGCTCGAGGCGTTGGACTCTCGATTCGATCCAGGTCGAGGCGTTCCTCCAATGGCGCTTCTTCATGGATTGGAACGAGACGGGGGTCCGTGGCAGGCGAGGGGGGTCCGTGTGTACGAAGCCAAGGGCTGGCCAACTCGCGACGGAGGCCAAGGAAGGGCGTGGGAAAGCTGAATGACATGGGTGTGAATAGGGATCAATATGGATGAATAGGTTTAGAAGACTATAAACATCTATAAACTACAGTAGGTCTCTTGGGAACTTGCAACACCAAACATTCATGCTTGTAGACCCACACTTGAACACTTGAGTCATATTGGCTGTATTGCCTTGGCACCATCAAAGGCGGAGAGCTCTATTTGCCCTCATTCTTTGAATGGTCACTACCAAGGGACCCGTTACACCCTCTTCATAAGTGGTCATAGTCACAGTGTGTCACGGTCATGTTCAGTCCACCAGACCATTATTGGAAAACCATACGTTTAGTCCACGATATCACGTTGAACAAAACATAACACTCCAAACAACGCTAGGCACTCGTAGTACAGGCAAAACCACTCACTACATAGGCTCCCCATAGTCTGCACTCATGTTTATGGTTGAAGTCACCAAAAGTGTCTCCATCGTTCATCCGCAGATCGGGTTCCCCGGCACCGTCGGGCGGTGCGTCGGTGACGTCGTCGCTTCGGAGGATCCTCTTCGTTCTGGCCATCCTTGCGACCGTGGTGAAGTCGAGGGGCTCAGACGGGCTCGAGACCGTGGGGCCCATCGAATTCGTAGGCCCCTCGGTACCTATATAGGTACCTGAAATACTATCCTATAGGTACCATTTGTTAAAGCCTATACTATCCTATACTATATATATATACCTGAACTAGTGCAGGGCTCTTAGATACATACCTCTTTGGGGGAGACTGAACTATATTGAGGTTTCGAGGCAGTCTGTTCTTTTCCCGCAGGTCGAAGGGTGGCTGGAGGTAATGCCACGTGATGCTCTAGTTCCTTGAGATACATTGTACAGTCATGTGTAGAGGAGACTGTTTAGACATGTATTATATATAGTTGTTTTTGTTGGCGCCTGCTGGCACATGAATCTTTCTGGCGGCGGATGTCAAACTTTGCAGGACGCATGGAGGATCTCATCGAAAGTTGCGGCAAGCATTGACAGTCTTATTTATTCTTAGACTCCTGGAGTGTGAGATTGGGAAACAGGTGGTGCCTGGCTCCTGATTTTGCGTGAAAAGGAATAATAATTAATAGCAATTATACTGGGGATAGTTGGCTTTTGTTTGTTCAGGACTGGCTCTTCTCCAGAGGCTCCCCGAATCAGCACACAACTGCGATTCCCTATCGTTTTGCAAGAGTACATGGACATCATATCAACGGCAGACGTTTGTACTTCAACAAACGCACCCCATGTCCGCTCCCACGACGGAGCGGATTGGTTTCCGCCCCCCCAAAGCACCCACAACCTGAGACCAGGGTGATGACGTGATCATCATTTCTCCAGGGTGCTCCAGGTCCGTTCGCAGGTGAGAGGACCTCTCACCTCCCTGGTGATCACATGTGATCACCCATTTCCAGGTCCATCTTCTCCTACATGCTCGTGCTGGTTGCCTCCCTGGGCTGGGGCGTCACACGGCCGTACCTTGATCAGCCCACCATCCTGAAGGCGGGGCTGCCCTCCTTTTCAGGCCCCAGGCACGGATGGTTGTACTGGTGGTTTCGACGGGAACGGAGATGAAATTGATGGAGTTTCCTTTGGAAACGGGAGATTGAAGCATGTTGTCCTATGGAAACGGGCTTTTGAAGCTCACAACTTCGTAGATTTCCTGGAAAACGATGTGAGACAGCACCAGTTTGCCTTCACGTCAGCACCAGGTGCAGGCCTTGAGCTTCTTTTACATCGTCTTGGATTTCGTCCGGGAGTCGGCGCTGTCCTTCAGGTCACCCGGCAAGTGTAGTTCAGCAAGAGTTACGTATGTGGACTGACCCATGATCAGAACCTGCACACCTGGGATTCCTTTGCTTCCGCCCTCCCAGCCTCGCACCGGGGAGACCCGGGTCTGAGACCAGTACCGCTTCACGGTCACGAAGTTGAGGCACAGCCACTCCTTGTCCATCGCCTTCGTGCTCCTTTGCTTGCTTCCAGCCGGGACGCCTGTCCCCACTCATCCGTCCCGGACGAAATCCGACGCCGGGTGCCAGAAGGTGACAGGGGGTCCATTTCGTTGCTGTTCGGGGGGCGTGGAAACACCGGAACGCTGGGTTCGGCGAAGAGATTGAGATCACTCCGTTTTTGGGTCAGCTTTTTTTTGGGGGGGGGCAGGGATGGGAAATGCTGATGAACTGATTCTGATGAGTGGATGCAAATGGCATCCAAAAGGATTCAAAAAGGCCCTTTTCAGGTCCAAAATGACCTGATTTGGTGGAAGTTGGAAAAGGCATCAAACCCTTTCCAGGCTGCCGATGAACAGATGGATTGCCACATGTTTGGAGCTCCCAAACCTAGAACAACTACCTTGGCACAGGCACTGGCACAGGCTAGACTTCCATGGATAAACGCACAATTTGATTATATATTGCGATTTGATGCAATTCCCCCCGGTGACATGGCTTGGGCAAACTTGGATCCCATCCCGAACCATAAATTGCCTTTTGCGATTAATGTAGAGTGGATTCCGAAAGCGAACAACCAGTACAGTAGTAATGCGTTAACTATTAATTAGAATATTTTACTATATTATTTGACCAGGGAGGACATCATTGTCCCGAACGTTCCAGCTGTGTCCAAGTCGTCCCAGCTCGGCATGTGGCACTGCTTGGGTCAGGTGGCACTGCTCAATGGCCATGGCCTCAGTGGGCAGCCGGAGCTTGTCGCCGTCCTGAAACCAAACACCGCTGTTCAGCAGGGGATGTTCATGGCCAACAGGGTCGCTTTCGGATCGCTTTCGGGATCAGGGTCGCTGACTTTCGGATTTCGTTTTTTTGGATCGTTTTGGACGTCCAAGGATCACCATGCCTCGCCCAGCTGCTCAAACTGCTCCCAGAGTGAGTTTTTGTTTGAGTGGACGAGGACCAAATCATGGCCCGCATGGCAGCCGGTTTCGGCCTCGTGGTGCCAGGTCTTACCATGTGTTTCCTTGGTGTGACGCTCCAAGGCTGTGGTGAAAGCGATCCCAGCCCAGTGACCTCTCGACCAAATTGTTATTATGAGGGGTGTGAATGTGAATATGATTCAACAAGGAGGAATCCCAACTGGACCAACAACACCCCCACCGACTACACCGACTACTTCATTTTCAACAATACTGAGTCAAGTTCTTGCCTGACTCGTAGCAATGAAGACCTTTGCGACGCTGAAGTGTGTGGAAGTGCATCATTTGTTGGCCAGGATGGCAGGTGCACATGCCAACTTTATAGCAAAAATGTACCAGTGGAAGGTCGTGCATTTCTGACTGACAACGGAACTTGTGTGGCCTCCATTCGTCGATCAGATGGCTTCGACGACACTTGGAGCACGGATGGCTTCACTGATGGCTTCACCGGCGATGTGAATCCAGACTTGGCGTCGCACTTCATATCGTTGGGCTTGGCGGAACATGCCTCCGTGGCGTCCTTCGCTCGGGTCGTGATGGAGCTGATGCAGCTGGCAGCACCGGCGGATCTGGTGGATCGCACCTTGCAAGCTGGACGGGAGGAGGTGCGGCATGCCCAAGTCGCCTTCTCCTTGGCCCGGACATGGTCAGCAGAGGGCTATCAGTTGGGCCCTTTGAATGGCTTGGAATATGCTCCCGTGAGCTTCGTGCAGCTGGCAAGGCAGACGGTCTTCGAGGCGATTCTCGGCGAGACGGCCGCCTTTTTGAGGGCATCATTGGCCCTTCGCTTTGCCACTCACCAGGGCGTCCGCGAGTTCTTGCTGCAGGTGGGGATGGGTGACAACGCGATAGACTCTGAAGCACCTCATCAGGTACTCCGGTATCCCAGGAATTACCATCAAGCACCATGAATTCCTCTTAGCTTGACCTCTCGGTCGGTAGGTCAACCGGTCGGTCTCCTGGGCTCCTTGAACTCTTCGCTCGCCCCACTGAGGTGGCCTCGGACGAGCGACGCCATGCCGAGTTGGCCTGGGCCACCGTTGCATGGGCTGTGCAAGCCAAGGCAGAGGTGGTCCAAGAGGTCTTGGTTGCCTTAGATGCGGCCGATGAAGAATTAGCACGGTCTAAGGCCACGGGCAAGGGCAACTTGGCTTATGGCATCCTCAGTTCCGACTTGGAGTCAGCAGTGCATCAGGAAGCTGCTAACCTAGTGAAGCGCTTTCGCCAAGAACTTTCAAGTGGGAGCCTGTTGCAAAACAACCTTTCAAGCTTTGAGCTGCGAGTGCAACAGGAATTCGACCACTCCATCTCGCGCATGGCAGAAGTGAAGGAAGTGTCAGTTTGAAGCCTCGCTGAGAGTCTGTGACTTGTTGACTACCACCATCCACCACCAAGCTTTGTGACAAACTGATCAACTGCGCCGAGACGATGTGAAAGATCTCTTTCTATTTGTCTTGGGACGGACCAAGACCTAAATATCTCAAAAGCAAGGGCCGGTGCTGGCAAGTCTGTAGGGTCACCCCAGTCACCTCCCGGGTGTGACAGAAAACATGAGATTAATGGCGATGGCCTTGAACCTGGAAGCGATGGCCTCCAACCTAATAATTAGATATCAATTAGCGATGGAATCCATTGGATAGGTATAGAAAGGGAAATTCACCTCACACGAAGACGTGCAGTGTGTTTTAAAGAATTCTTGGCAGGCTGAACCGACTCTTCATTCTTGTCACGGCCGAAAGTACGGCCAAGTGATTCCGTTCTTGTTGATAAAGCCTCTCATGAGAGCACCTGCCCACTTTGAAGTCAGCATAAATGCTGCAGCCTGAAGCCATTCCAGGACCGGAGACCCTGGAAGTGCAGTTGTTCAGCATGTTTGTGATAAACAATTCACCTCAGTACTTGCAAGTGCACTGCCAAAGGCTCTAGCGAGAAGTTTTTGCACATGTTACTTTTTTGCATGCAAATGACACTAATCCAACCCCTCGCTGCCAGCTGATGACCTCTCAGGAAATCTTAGGAATAGTCGTTGAACAGTTAAAATTCTACAAATGAGCGCCACCAGTAGCGCCACCCTATTTCCGATCTCAAGTCGGCGCAGAAGGTAGAGGTTTGTCTTTGCAGGTTTGTCCATGCTAAACCCCTATTTGTGAAGTGCATTCAAAACTTATTGCCACCCCGACAATCTTGACATAGTTGTTCCCTTTTTAAGTTCTACCCTTCCTTGATTAGTTTGTTTAGTTTATGTGTGTTTTACTACTAGTTTGCATGTGCTCCTGTTATCGAGCCCCTTCCTTTGTCAAATTGGTTTTCCATGGTTTGCCTCATCCCTGAATATGTTGATTAATTATTTGTTTACGTGTTTGTGTACTTATCGGAGTGTTTGCTTATTAATTGTTCTTTGTTAGTTTTCTCACATTAAATTGATCCTCTATATATAGATTTATTTCAGAAGCTATTGCCACACAACAATCTTGAAATAGTTGTCCCTTTTAAACAACTGCTACCTTTCCTTACTAGTTTATTTAGCACCTTCCTTAGACAAAACTGTGTGTTTTTTTACGTGATTCTTTCTGTGATTAGGCACTGAGAGGCAAATAACAAAGGCCATACAATAGAAGGAGCTAGAGCAGAGACAACAGTTGCTTGTTTTATACATTGTTGACACGTTGTTGATTGTAGATGAACACTTTGCAGAACATAGATTTCTTGGACAATAACTTCCAAAGTTGTGACCCTTACAAAAGACATCCAAAAACTTACAACACAAAAAATCTACACAATAAATAATACATGAATAAAGGAAACGGCGCAAGCCATGGGGAGGCAAGTCCGTCCTGTCATGACTGTGCAGTTGTGCCGCTGGGAGCGCTCCTTTCTGATATAACTACTGTAATGTGATGGTACAAAACACGGAGACCCATTGAATAAGAATATCTAATTGATAAACACAATACAGATCCCCATGAAGGAAGGACATGGCTACTTATAATCCTCAAAGGCCATCCTCAAAGTTGTTGCATACCAGAGTGGGCTTAGACAACAAGGAGCTGTTGTTTCATGATGTTTCATGACGAACATCAAACATGCTCACCAGTGCACTCCCACAGTCTCCTTTTGCAGTGAGAGTTGCTCAAAAGGCGAGTTGCTCGACGGAACTGTTTGGGGACGAGAAGATGTGCAGTGCCTTCACTTTCATCCCGTTCACTCGGGACCCACTGACCCGCCAGGAGTGATTTTCTACTGGATTTTCACGGCTTTGTGCTATCCTCAGCCTTTTCGTTTGTGACATAGCAGAGGAAACACAAAAGTGGAAGCGGAGAAACAGTAGAATTCATTGAAATTGAAGGGATGCTCACGGAATGCAGTTTGCACAGTGTTCGGCAATGTCCAGCAGAGGCATTTGCTCAATTTGGTTTCAGGCCAAATATATCCAAATGTTTTGGCGATGCCCCCCCGGTCTCGAATGATATGATACAGTAAGCACAACTAATTCAATAGAACACTCCGCATAGGTCCCTGCTGAGAAGAGGGTAGTGCGCAAGACTGATACCCCGTGCCCATCCCACCAATATTTTAAGAATAGACAATCACTAATGACATTTGGCCACATGAGCAATATTATCGTGGCGTTTTAAAACGAATACACTCTGACATTGGTTTTCAGTTAGCTCAACTCCCAAGTGGAAAAAGGTGAGGGAACAGCAAGGCGAGAAAATCAGTTCACTTGAAAGGTTGAACAATGGTTGTACTCAGCTGGCACTCTCGCGCGGCAAGCTGCGGTGGCGGAGCGACACTTCGGCAGGAAAGGGTTTAGGGGTCTATCGTGCAAGGACCATGAAACCAAAGAACAGCGGGAAATTTGGAGTAGTGTCACGATGCAGGTACAGGTGGATGATCAGTCCACCCATCCTCGATACACCAGAGCTTCGTTGCGTCAGGTAGGTGTATCGAGCCTGACGCCCCTGCTGAAAAAACTTCAAAAAGCAAACGGTGAGGTGGAACCCTTAGGTACAGGGGTTGACACACACACACACACGGTGCCGCTTTGCGGCGCTCGTGCGAACGACCTGAATAGGTACCTAAAAAGCCTTAGAAACAAAAGAAAGACAAAGAAACACAGAAAGAGCAGCGCTAAGAGGGCAAGAGAGAAAGGTAGGAGTAGAAAAAAGTGAATACTTAGCCCTTGACTGGGGTAGGGAAACGAATGTCAAGAGCAACCTCAAAAGCCTGAGAGAAAGCCCAAGAAACGACCAAAAGCGCAAGAAGGAAAGTGGGGGGGCAGGGAGGTGTATGTACATGTGTGTGTCCGTGTGTGTGTGTATGAATACTTAGCACTCTAGAATTACTGATTACTTGGCGGAAGTGAATTCAATGCAATAGTTAGGGAGCGGGACTTTAGTCTTAGACCGCCCGGGTAGAGAAGACTAGACAAGGGACAACAGAGGGAAAGGCACCGACACACAAGTGTGCCGAGTACCATTTCCCTCTGTTACCCTAATTAGTGAGTGGGAGGGGTTGGGGTGTTTGGGGTAGAAGCCGCGTTTGGGTTCATTCTCCGTACAAGCCCGGCGGCTATTGGAGCAGTTAATCCAGTGGTGAAAAGGAGTCAGTTAAGAAAATCCAAGCATTGAAAAATCCGAAAAGTCTGTTACACGAATTCCAGCATGGCTTCAGCGCCCCAGTGACGGGGATCACACCCAGCACCCAAGTGGGACGGCTGAGCGGTTCACACTCTGACATTATGGTTTTCAGTTAGCTCAATTCCCAAGTGGAAAAAGGTGAGGGAACAGCAAGGCGAGAAAATCAGTTCACTTGAAAGGTTGAACAATGGTTGTACTCAGCTGGCACTCTCGCGCGGCAAGCTGCGGTGGCGGAGCGACACTTCGGCAGGAAAGGGTTTAGGGGTCTATCGTGCAAGGACCATGAAACCAAAGAACAGCGGGAAATTTGGAGTAGTGTCACGATGCAGGTACAGGTGGATGATCAGTCCACCCATCCCTCGATACACCAGAGCTTCGTTGCGTCAGGTAGGTGTATCGAGCCTGACGCCCTGCTGAAAAAACTTCAAAAAGCAAACGGTGAGGTGGAACCCTTAGGTACAGGGGTTGACACACACACACACACACGGTGCCGCTTTGCGGCGCTCGTGCGAACGACCTGAATAGGTACCTAGAAAGCCTTTCTTTCTTTCACTTACGCCAAGAGCGTCTCGCTTGTGACTAGTAGTTGAATTACGAATTGGCAGAAGTCACTGCCGCTGCATGGTAGTCGGGGCCCATCGGCGCTTCCGTGTCGAAATGGGCCACTAACTTCTGTACAGCAGCTTCAAACCACAAAGGAACATCGGCCTCTCCTTCCTCGGCCTGAGCATCTAAGAAAATTCGTGCCAGCGTTTTACACAGTGCACCGGGATATTGTTTCAGTCGGCTCGTGTTCCAAACGCCTTGGGCGTTTTTCCCGATGCTGGAACCGACAGGAACCTCGGTGACCTTACCGGCTCGAAGCAGGTGCTCAGCTTGTGGTGCATGTGCTACTAACAAATCCGTAGGCTTGACGGACGGAGCACCAAAACACCCCTGCAAGACCCTCAGTCGTTGGCAAAAGGGGAAACGCAAAAAGAGCTGAATGACATCCAACCTCCAAATAGAAGGCATATCTGAACGGTCCTGTGGTTCCGCAGGATGCTCCACGATTGCAGTCGAGCCTGAAAGTAGACATACCAGAAAGAGCCTAAGAGCCACTCCTAACAGAAGGTTGCCAGTCATGATCTGCTCAGATTCCCTCTTCGTGAGGAACGGTAGGCCCCAGGGCATCGATCGGCTGCGCAACGGCCGAACACCCGTGGTTTCCGAGTCTACATATCTGGCCCTGCTCCATGTCTCACATGGGGGACCTGCTAGCATCCCACGTAGTGCCCCTTCGTGCAAAGCTCGCGCAAATAGAGCAAACGTATCAGCTCTCAATAAGTTCCCCCCACTGAATGTCGTAAATGATGTCGACCGATACTGCCTTTGCCCCCCAGAAGCTCAATGAAATGTTCAAAGTCATCCGCCCTGCGATTGCCAGCAAAAAGGTGGGCAAAGATGCGAGGTGCGTACCGCACCCTGGCAGGCATCGAAGTGTGCAATGGCTCAAGCTTATGCGCTTCGTCAGCAAAGAAGGAGGCTACCTCAATATGATCATGTTGGGGGGGACCCATTCTCTCCGATGAACCATTCTCCACTGGCTTTATGCAGATACAACGCAAGAACCCGGAAGGTAGCAAGCGTTATGGACTCATCAGTAGAAACGGACACAAGCCATTTTTTTGAAGCGTTCAATGAACTCCTCAGGATACAAAAAGTTCCTCGGTCGCACCAATCTCAGCTTTTCAAGAAGGTGGCATGATTCAGACTGGTCAGAAAGACATGCTGTGCAGTCATGACCTAGCTGTCTCTCGACCGCCGTACTCCCGTCCCTAATCTCAGGCGCTGCAGGACACAAAGGCCCCTGTGCTTGGACATATGGATCTCTCAAAAGCTGTTTGGTTTGGTTAGACTTTTTGCTATTGACACCCGGCTCTCGCTCCACAATTATTCCTCTACTTTGATAAAATCGGAAGCAATTTGGCATCTTATCGACGTGATTGAGCAGATCAGTATGGTGAGAATACACCTTGAGACAAGCCTCACAAGCATTACCTACAACATATTGTCGTACAGTCCTGATTCTGTCGTGCACTTTAAAAGCATGCGCAGCCAAATCTGCTCTTCTCCGAAAAAATCTGGAACAACAAATGCAGTAATGCTCATGTCCGTGCTCACGCACCGGCCGAGAGAACTCAATGGGAGACTCTTGCAGGGTCTCCATGATCTGTCGGTGCCATCGTGTCCAAGAACTGCGGATAGTCAAATCCGAAATGTGGCGATCTTGCGTTCGCCGGATCCATCGTTTCCATCTTGATGGCTTCTCTTGAATGAGTGTGGCAAAGCTAGCCCATGACTGTCGGAATCTGAGTAAGAGCCCCACTTCTGGACAGTAGTAGTCAAACCAGCTGATGTCCTCTTCCAGTTGTGAGCGCCAAAAGGGACTCTTCTGAAGCAATGCCCATGTATGAGGCTGCGCAGATCCCAACAGCTGTCCCAAGTACCGGAGCCTTCCCAACTTCAGCAAGGCCACAGGCTGTGGTAATTGGACTTCTTCAAGCAGCCTCAAAGTACTCCATCTGAAGACTTTGTTTCCATGATGCACAGCCGCGAAACGTCTGTACAGCCGAAAGAGCGCCCCTTCCAGTTGTCTTTGTTGTCGGCTATTCTTTGCCCTCCAGACAGCTGAGTTGTACATGACTGTACTGAGGACAAGACTAATAAAATACTGCTTCTTCTTTTGAAAGTCCAAACCTCTATTGCAGAAAAGCTGGGATCGATATCTCGTCAGCACATCGTGGGCAATAGCGAATTTGCAGTTAATGTCCTTTTTGAATACCAGCTCCTACTTGTAGCCAGGTCCCTAAGTGCTTGTACGCTCCAACTAAATGGAGTTCAAAGGGTCCATATCGCGAGTCAATGCGAAGCACATTCTCCTGTCGTAATAGGTCTCGTCTGAGAGCAAGAGAGCCTGGTCCTCTCAGGTCGATCAGGATTTCACTCTTGCCTTTCTTCAGATTCGGAGTGAGACCCGCTGCCAAGAGATTCTCAAAAAGGACAGCTGTAACTCTAGTGATTTTGTGAATCAACATCTCAGGGGCACCATCACTAACCGCAAAGGCAAGGTCATCTGCCCAAACAGGTGTCAACGGGCCCAGGTCAACCTGAAAGTCCCCTTCAGGGTAGATGGTCTTTTCACCATTCCACCAGATCCCCAGGTCATTGAACTCCATTTGAAGCTGATTCAGCGCTCTCTGAACGAACTTCGTGAGCGCAAAACTGAAAACCAAGTCAGCGAAAGCATCTCCAGGCCTGCTCCCTTTCCTTGTATGTGTCACAGCCTGATCTCCTCTGATCATGAACCAGGTCGAAGTGAAAAATTCTCGAAAAAGAGCCTTAAGGTGTGGAGGTACCTCTGCAGCATCCAAGGCGTCAGGTTGTCGGAGCAGTTCTTGGAACTCACAGAAAGCTTGTGGGGGCAGTCCGAGGCTACCAAAAAGTTCACGAGCCCCTCGATCATCATCCGCAGGAGTCACCACATGCTGTCGCACCACTTTATAGAAGGCATTGCTAATATCAACGAACAATATAGCATAGGAGTTCCCCGATGCAATTGCCTCTTGCTGAAAGAGG